AAATCTGTTATTATGGCAGCCATAGTTTCTTTTCCATTGTCGCGTTTTACTGGTACGCTACCATTTTTTAAAATACATTGTGTTGAATGAATAAATTCTGACGTTAAATCTTGAATTTTGTCTATAAAATGAAATATAGTTATAAACTATAAACTTTTTTAAGGGGTTTTCTGTAATTATATGTGTGAATAAAGTTTTGTTGTTGAAAATCAAGCTTTTTAGATAGTGTGTGAATTGTATAAGTAAATTTAATATAGTAATATGCTTACTTTTTGTAAGTATAATTTTAAATTACGGATTTACCATCTTTTTTCTGTAAAACCTTGTGTTTTCTCCCACCATCGTGTTTTTCTGATACTTTTCTTTTTTTTAGAAAACTCTTGAAATGTTTTCTTGAATTGATAGACTCTGCATTAAAATCTTGAAGCTCATCTATGTAATGTATTATTAATATAAAGTATGAATATATTAGATAGCTTAAGAGTGGTGTAGTTTTAGGTACACTTAAATATTACCACTTTAAAATATTACATTTACATAATCAATATGTATATTTACCCTTTAGAAAATCTAGACCCAGGTGTACATATGAATCCTAACATGTAAACGNGGTGTACACATGAATCCTAACATGTAAACGTTTATACAGATTATTATAAACTCAATATTAATAATCTATTAAATAGGATAATTTTTCTATCAGAACTTATTTACACAATAAAAATAATTTGAATATTTTTATTTTTTTTTATACTTANATAAAAATAATTTGAATATTTTTATTATTTTTTATACTTATTTTCATTACTTAAGTCACGTATTATTCTTGAACTATTAACTATTTAATACAATTGAAGTGTATCTTTTATTCATTGTAAGGAACTTAACTTTGTTTTTTTCAAACGCGAACATATTATTTGAATGTAATAAAATGTTTCAAAATGTGTTTTAATAGTGAATGAATTTTAAATTTAAACGTATTAAAGAAAATGTTTGGCCCGCCAAATAATATGATAATTAGCTGAAAAATAAGTAATTATAATTTTTCATAACTACAAACCATCTCTCCTTTCATCGGTGTTACTGTTGGATTGTACTACCGGATATGTTTTTTTCAATAAAGCTGAGTCTTTACTCGCACCAATATTGCCATCAGGCGTATTGAAATTGGCTACAACATTTTTTTCAGTTTGTCTGGCACATAACTTCCTAACAAATTTTATAACTCTTCTAAATACGCCTTTTTTGGATATCATATTATATTTTATAGAAATAAAAACACTATTATTTACTCTTTAAATTGTACTAAACCAAAATAATTAAATAATGAATTGTTAGACTGAAATTTACATAGAAAATAAACTATTATTGTATCATAGAAATTTAAAATAGTAATATCAATTTTTTATAAGCCAATTGCTATCATAATTGTGTACTATGAAAACAATTAAAATATGACATATTTTTTAGCTAATTTCTTCCTTTTTCTGTATCTTAAATTAATACCCTAAATGTATTTTAAGAAATTGTAAAGAGGTGTTTTCTACACTATTTAAATACTAAATAAAAACTAAACGTAAATTTAAAACTAAAAAGAAATTTACATTCATACATATAATAATTCTCAAAATTGATAAAATATTCTATATTTTATTAATATCTAAATATAATATTAAATTTGATCCATAGTTGACTATTTATTATAAAATATTTTCCTATAATAGGTAGACGGGTAATTCAGATTATGCTATACAAGGGTAATATTTAGACTTTTTAATAAATTATGAATATATTCTCCTCTTAAATATTTAAAATTAAATTAATCATAAAAAAATATAAACATTTTAATATGCTCATGTTCTAAGCCTGTTGTTGCAATTGTACGCGTTAAAACTCCGACTTTATTCTAATCAACCTCATCATTGTTGCTCTATTTTAAAATTGATCATTCATTAATTGAACTATGCGTAGATTCATCACATTTATGTACCAAGCCGGTATGAACACTTCATCAAAATAGCCAAAAAATGTCGAAAATTAGCTATTTTTAAATTTGTAATTTTTTTGGAGATATCCCCTACTAACGGTGAACAAGGAAAATTTTTCCTATTTTTTAGGGTAAAGTCTTCAACTATATTTGATTTGTGATCTTTCGACGTTTCGTTGAAAGAAATCGGTTCGATGAGAGCTGAGAAAAAGTTATAGACACAAAAAAACACATCATATTGTCGTAACACAATAAAAGAAAAGAAACAAACGATGTAAATGTATATGTAATTGTGATGCGAAGATGAATATGAGGATGTGGTGCCTGCTGTCTAGGTATTCACGTGCGTGTTGTCGTACAGCAGTCACCGTGCTCGGCTGACACTCCGGGTTAGCTGTGGGTGTCGAAAGGCTGTTGTTATAGGAAGTGAATAAGGATAACACCTAGGTATTAAAGATTTTAAGTTTATTTTATGTTAATACAACTGTTATTTTAATGACAAATTTTTATAAATTTGCATATTTTTAACAATTTTTAGAGAATATAAATATCATTAAAAGTTTGTACCCTAGGGGTGAGAAGCCTATCACACTTACTACGTGACAACTAAGGATCGTAAATAAATATAATAAATAACATTTAAAAATCGACCGACTAAAATTTTTCTTTTCAATTTATTTGAAATTCATTAAAATTGCTATAATTTTTTATAAAATGCTCTAAACGATACACATGATTTAGATAAAACATTATCTTATAAGAAAATTCAATAATTTGCCTTAAATACTAGAGGAGTTCAAACATGACAACAATGTCTCTAAAATTTTTTTTTTTTTAAATAAGAACTCATTGCTATGTCCTGGAAAGTGTGACGATTAAAAATATATATTATATTAAATATTTCTTAATACTTCTTAATTAAAAAAAAAAAATTTGTCTTTAATAAAAATATACGTTAAATTAACTAATTTGGCCTAGAATTTGAATTGAATACTGACGTATCTGAAACATTTTTAAAAATTAAAATAAAGAAACATGTTTGTAAATAGTGATTTTTTTTTCTTTTGGCAGCTTATGGTTGAACAATTGTCGAGACTAATTTATTTTTAATGTTGTAGGTCACATCAAAGTCAGTAGTTTTATATAAGTTAAAAATTGTCAAACGTTTGGGAAAATATCAAAAATTGAAATAAAATTGAGGTATACTGATAGATGTTGGACAGGTCCAATGGGTTTTTATAGAAAACATGTTGGTTACATATTTTATTTTATAGCCCAAAACATAGTTGACAACAGCTGAAGTGCTGTTTTGATTTATTATAATATTTTTTACAATTATATAAAGAAAGATAATGTCACATAAATCACATACTATATTAAAGCTTATGGGGGATTTATTATTTCTGGTATTTAAATATAAAATTAAATATTGAGAAGCCATATATATTTAATATTACAAGACATTGAAATATCATAAAAATAGAGAAAACGTTAGAAGCTCTATAGCTTAAAATAGCAAAATAAAAGTAATCAATAAAAACTCGGTAGTATCAAATTATTACAGTTGTATATTTAATTTTAAAATACTAAAATTTATAAAAAAAATTATTGTTCCTATATTTAGATAAACCATCAATATTAGGCATAGAATATCTATACGTCGAAAATACAGATGTATCAATCGTTTAAAATTAGTATCAAATCTTTAAAATCTTTTAGGTTGAATAATGAGAAAGAATAAGACATTTGAGTACATATCAAAAAAATAATAATTTATAGAAACAAGTTAATAAAAAAAATAATAATAATTGATAATACACATAATTTAAGAAAATTTATTTAAAAAGAAAAAAAAATTTACATTTTCAAATCAATTTTATTAATGTAATAGACTGTTTTTGTAAACATTTAATTATAATTACTAAAATAATACTTTTTAAAATTTTGTCAATAGTAGGAAGGAATATTAACAATCAAAATAAAAATGATGAATACGTTCTTCATTTAATAAAAATTGTTTTTAATTATTATTATGTTACGGTTTATATTTTACGGTTTGGATAAACTTTACTTGTTGTCACTATCAAATTTTCAGGTTTTGGTATTAACGTCTGATTAGTATCTGGATGGTAAATAAATCCTAATCTATAATACTTTTCGCGAATAGACGAATCAATAACATCTTTAATGGTTTTTTGGAGGAAATCATAAAAATAGTTCTCTGATTTATTTTCGCTATTATAATTTTCCATTAAATTAGTCCACATTGATGTCAAATCTTCTGGTACTACATCGCAATAATATTTCATGTCTAAATCAACATCAACATTTCTATACAAAAAAAATTGATAACAGTCTATTAATATTTTTTTGTAGGATATCGGATGATTTCGTACAAGTGATGACTTCTTAAATTTTTTTTTTATTTCTATTAAAGAATTAAAAGTTACATTTAAAATATAATTCTTGGGTTTTTTCATATACCAAGGGCTAAAATGATAACTTTCAATAGCGTCCATGGCACCTTTCATTTTCGTTACCATTGGAACTAAATTATATATGGTGTCTAAAAAAATTTCAGTACAAATGTACCCGTAGGTTCGGTTAGTTTCGTTTTGGTTTTCTTCTTTTTCCTCGACATATTCTTTACAATGTTGAATAAATTTATTGATGATGTAGTAGATTTTCTTTAAAATATTACCATATGTACATGCAAGAAATAGAGTTGTAATATGTATACGAACATTAGCATTTTTTGTATTAATCGGTGTTTCATAAAACTCCTCTAAAGTACATTTATAATGTGTATATTTAACCTTTATAATGTCGTTGAAATTTTTCCAATCAAATTTTTCAAAGAATTTATTTAATATTGTTATGTTTTCCACAATTTGGTATGGTGACGTTGCAATAACTACACCTAACATAGGAAAAAAAACTAAAAAGTAAATGTTAATTTTTTGATTACGCGTCATATTTTTGTAAAAGATTTACTTTTTTCTGTCTATAAAATATAGTTTATGAATACTAAAATGTTTTGTTACATATTTCTCATATTTAAAAATTAAATGTTGACATATATACAGGGTGATTGGTTTATTATAATCTACTTGATTACTCACAAAATAAATACAATATTGGATAAAACATTTTTGATTTCTTTTAGTTACATGTATATCTTGATTTATCAACTAATAATGTCTTTTTAAAATTATTCATATAAATTATGGAGGTATCAACTATATTTATTTAAATGGCGACGTATGTAACTAGCTTATAAAATATAAAATAATATAATTTAAAAAATTATCGGTCGATATCTACTTTACGGATCAGTACTTTTACTAGTTATTCCCATTTTTATATCTGAGCGGGACAAAAGTTACTGTCGGGAAATAACTAGTGAAAAATTAGCATCATCCACTCCTCACCTCCCATCTTTACTTTAAATTATTAATAACTTCTGAAATACTAGTTCAAAAGTTGTTATCGACAAATAATTTTTTTAATTAGATTATTTCCTTACTTTATAAATTAGTTAAGTGTACATGTGCCATTAAAAAAAAATGGTAATCTCTTATAAGTTATAAAGGATTATTTTAAAAAGTAATTATAACTGATAAATGAAGAAATATACGTAAATTAAAAAAATCAAAAATAAATTTTACATTATTGTATGCATTTTGGTAGTAATCCAGTAGTTTATGATAAAACAATCACTCCTGTGTATGATTCACATTGGTCTGAAAATACATGAAACAAAAAAATATCAAAAGTGATATTCTTTAAAAAATAATTATTTTAGGAGAAATCGAGTGACTTATATTATAAGAAACATCCTGTACATAACAACTTGCAATACTAAATTATTTAATATCATTAGTTTCATACTAAACTTAATGACTATAACAAGTGTATATTCATGTATTATACTTATAAATCATAAAACTAGTAGTCAGAAAATAAATAAGGAAATGGGATTTTATGTTGCTTTTGGAGTTATTCAATAATTCATTCTAAAAATTAAACGTTATTTACAGATTTGCATTATACCGTTTTCTATGATAGTGATTTTAATCATTGTCAGATATCATCTTCACTTGCCCCTACTATGTTGTTTTTTTTATATACACATTATAATATTTATTTATTCAGTTTTGTGTGTAATATATACAATATTACTTATTTTTATACTTCAAATTATAGTTATTATTTTTTATTTATTGATTTTGCATATTTTTTAAAATCTAAATTTTGGAAAAAAAAAATTCTCATCGTTTATATAGT